GGCAGGTGGGGACCTTGGGCCACAGAAAGTAGAATTTTAAAATGAAATGGGGGGGGGGGGTAAATTCTCTCAGGCAAGAGCTGCCTCCCAAGGCTTCCTCTCAATGTAGAACAGGTGGTCTGAGATGCTCTCCGAGTCCTGTGTAGGGAGCACTCACGTGATCAAAGTTGATCTGAATACAAACACGGCTATCCAGAGGCAAGCAGCTGAGGCAGGCCAGCCTGCAGCCAGTGTCCACAGAGCCCGACAAGGAAGCTGGGGAGGAGTCATGGAAGGGCAAAGAGCTCCAGCAGGCTTTAGCACACTGTTTCAGGCTACTTGCCGGAATCTACTTTTAACTTTTTTATTAAGAAATAATAATTGCGTATCTTCCTGCAGTGTGGTGTCATGTTTTCAGTAGGATGTATTAATTGTAGAGAATAATGGGTTTCATTGTGACATTTTCATACATGTCCATAGCATGCTTTGGGTTTTTTGTTTTGTTTTGTTTTTGGCTTTTGGTTTTTCAAGACAAGGTTTCTCTGTGTAACCCTGGCTGCCCTGGAATTCACTAAGTAGACCAAGCTGGCCTCGAACCCAGAGATTCACCTGCCTCCCAAGTACTAGATTAAAGGTGTTGGAGGCATACTTTAATCTTCTTCACACCCATTTCCCTACATCTCTGCCCAACAACAATTCCCCAACAACAATTCCCCAACTTCTACTGTAATGTCCTGTTTACCTTACTGGATTCCACATACAAGCAAAAGCACGGGCTCTGTATCATTCTGACCCTGGCGTAACCTTTTTCTTAATATTGTGCCTCCCAGTTCCACCCATTCTCCTACCAATGATATAATTCTGTTTTCTGTGGCTGAATTAAGAACTCCATTGTATAAAATTACATTTTCTTTTCTTTATTCACTCATCTATTGACTGGTATCTAGGTTATCATAGAATAACTCTCCAGAAGAGATGCCGCAGGCAATAAAGCGATTGCTATGCAAACTTTTAGATGGGGGTTCGGGTCCGCAGGACCCATGTAAAAGCTGGGTGTGGCAGGTGCTGGTCTGTAATGGTAACGGTCAGGGGAATGAACACCGGAGTTCCTTGGGGCTTGCTGACCAGCCAGCCTGGCTGCTTGGTGAGCTCCAAGTTCAGTGAGAGACCCTGTCTCAAAAAATGGAATACAACTGAGGGAGACACTCAACACTGACTGCTGGCCTCCACAGGCATGTACACACACATGCACTTGCATGTACCCATATAAAAGTAAACAAATTCATATACTTTATGCACACACACACACACACACACATACATACACACACACACACACACACACACACACACACACACACACACACACTTAATTCTCCAACTGTGTGTAGTGGCACATGTTTGCAACCCTAGCACTCAGGAGACCATACCAAGAGAATTGTTGCATGTTCAAAGTCAGCCTGGGCTATATGAGTTTCAGGTTAGCCTGGGCTACAGAGTAAGAGTATGGCTTGAGAAAACAACAACAATAAGAAAGCCAAAATAAATTTTTCGAATGAGTTCATAAAAGGGCTCCATGTTTAGAGGATTATAGGGAGACACTGGAGATATAAAATATACAGCAGGGATTATCATCAGGTAGCCATGGGGGGGGGGGGCTCATTGTGAAGCCCAACATTGACTAGGAGGGGTGGGGAAAGGTGGCTCAGCCACTCTAGCGACTTACCTTTCATTGGGTCTTAGTTAAGGACCAGCCTAGGGCCAAAGAAAGTGTGTCAGATTCCCAACCTTTATTTATCCTTGAACAAACCTTTTACTTTGATAATGACCAAGGTTCAAAGATAACCCTACCTTTCCTGCCTATGATTGACTTTGTATCTCAACTTGCCTGAGCTCTGAAGTGCCCAGATTGTATCTGGGTGTGTCTGTGAGGGGATTTCCAGAGGCAATTAGCACTGAACTTGTAGACAGAAAGAAGAAAATCCATCATAGATGAGGATCCCCATTATGGGTTGACCTCATCTAATTTCCAGAATGCCTGAAGAGAACAAAAGAGCTGTAAGTGGGCAAATTCCTTCTCTGCTTTGAGCTGAGACAACCACCTTCTACCCTCAGTCACCAGTTGCCCCTGGTCTCGGGATTTTGGACATTACCTGAATTCTATCATTAACTTTTGCTGTGGGATGTTCTGTATGTCAAATGTGTTGCTGATTGGTCAATGAATAAATCACTGATTGGCAGTGGCCAGGCAGGAAGTATAGGCGGGACTAACAGAGAGGAAAATTGAGAGAACAGGAAGCTGGAGGGGGGACACTGCCAGCCGCCATCAGGACAAGGAACATGTAAAGATGCCGGTAAGCCACGAGCCATGTGGCAAGGTATAGATTAATGGAAATGGATTAATTTAAGCTGTAAGAACAGTTAGCAAGAAGCCTGCCATGGCCATACAGTTTGTAACCAATATAAGTCTCTGTGTTTACTTGGTCGGGTTTGAGCGGCTTGGGACTGGCGGGTGAGAGAGATTTGTCCTGACTGTGGGCCAGGCAGGAAAACTCTAGCAACAAATGGCGCCCAACGTGGGGCAAGAGTTTCCACCTAAAAACTGAAAAAAAAGATTCTAAAACGGAGCTAAAAACAGTTCCTAATTGTTTCTCTCAAATGAGCGGCAGCTGCCGGTTTGAGCTACTGGCGGGTTGCTGGCGTGCGCGCTCGACCTGCAGTATGGCGGGAATGAGGCCTCTGCAAGTGGCACATTAAGCTGCATTGTGGATTTAGCCTTTGCCAGTACAAAACAAAAAAAGAGGTTTCTGGGCTACACGCTGCTTGGATAAAAGCATAGACCCACGATGGCTCCCAGAGCTGGCGGTAAGCATACTGCCGCCATGTTGGAAAGCTGAGGTGGGCGGAGCCAGCAGCCACAGCTGTTACAGCTTAAAACAATAGATTCACAATAAGACAGATTCAGATGTAATAGTTTAAAATGTGTATAAAATATACGTAGGCTTAAAAGAGACAAAAAAAGGTGATATATACAGTATAGAAACAAATACATGGTTTAAAAATAAAGTCTTTAAAGAGACAGTAAAATTAATATAAAAAATAAGCCACGTAGAGATGACTATTACACAGAGAGTCTGGATTGTGTTGTCTTTGGGATTCTTAACTACAGAAAAATATTTGATTGTAAAGGAAGCTGAGTTAAACCAGTATGTATATTTTAAAGATACTTTGACTTCAAAATTTGGATGTAAGGATATGTTGCTTTGGAAAAGAGTCTCTTTTGTTTCCACAGAAAGCAAGAGGCTATGGATTTGTTCCAGATTAAGACACATCAGGTTTGACCAGCCAAGACCACCTGAAAGGTCTCCGATGACACCATGGCCCAGATGATCCAACATCCAGAACCATTTCAAGGCAACTGGCTCAGATGATACAGCCTCACGGACTACTCCGTGATCCTAAAATTCTTTGTTTCCCCAGAAGATACAGCGCCCCCCTCCAGCAGGAAGTAGTAAGAGAAGCTACGCCCAAATTCCCAAATATACCAAGCTGACTTTGGAGATGTGTAAAGGTTAAAACCTTCCTTTTTAAGAAAAGAAAAGGGGAAGTGCTGTGGGATGTTCTGTATGTCAAATGTGTTGCTGATTGGTCAATGAATAAATCACTGATTGGCAGTGGCCAGGCAGGAAGTATAGGCGGGACTAACAGAGAGGAAAATTGAGAGAACAGGAAGCTGGAGGGGGGACACTGCCAGCCGCCATCAGGACAAGGAACATGTAAAGATGCCGGTAAGCCACGAGCCATGTGGCAAGGTATAGATTAATGGAAATGGATTAATTTAAGCTGTAAGAACAGTTAGCAAGAAGCCTGCCACGGCCATACAGTTTGTAACCAATATAAGTCTCTGTGTTTACTTGGTCGGGTTTGAGCGGCTTGGGACTGGCGGGTGAGAGAGATTTGTCCTGACTGTGGGCCAGGCAGGAAAACTCTAGCAACAAACTTTGCTGTTTCTCCAGCTTGCAGACAGCTTACCATTAAGACATCTTGGCCCTCCACGAACCAATATCCATAACTGGTCTCATAAATATATGTAAATAAATACATAATTAAATTTCTTATTGATTCTCTTTCTTGGAGGACCCTGACTGATATGCTAACTTTGAGTGTATTATTAAAACACAAGGAAGAGAGCTCAGGCAGAAAGAGCACTTGTTGCTCTTCCAGAGGACCAGAGCGCTATTCTCAGAACCGTCATTTAGGCAACTCATAATAACCTGTAACTCCAGTTCCGGGGGATCTGATGCCCTTTTCTGGTCTCTGCAGGCACCAGCTGCACTGATACATACACACACAGAGACAATTAAATATTAAAATCAATCTTTTAAGAAAACTCACAAAACTCTTTGGGGATAAGTGGTGCCTTTGGTAGTATGAACTTAGAGGTTCCACTTCTCTGCATTTCTTAGGCCTGAATCATTGTTCATTTGTGAAGCGTTTATTGAGCCTAGAGAAACCAGAGACATCATGCCTTATGCCTGCTACTGTAATGATCAATGGGATAAAGACTTTGACCTTGGCCTCAAGGAGCTTGCTGTCTCTGGAAAAGAATGTGGGTTCCCAGGACAGAGGCCAGACAGGGTCATCTTTAGGAAAGGATTCCACCTGGCATGCCATGGCACAGAGGGAAGAGACATAAACGTTGGCCTTGGGGAACAGGATCCTGGAGATCTTTTGAGAAAATGTCCATCAAGCCTCCAAAGTTGGGCAGTGATACAGAGCTGCATGAAGCCCAAGGATGAAACCTATCCACTTAGCCAGAGGCCGGAAAGCACCCAGTCACTTGACAGGGGCACAGCTATGGAGCATGGGAAGCAGGCTACATAGCCAGATCTGTCACTGACTGGTGGACAGATGAACCAGTTCTGAACCCACAGCTTCCTAGACTTTAGAGTGATGGAAATAATTCAGAGATGTTTCAAAGGGGTTTGTGAGGATTAAATGGGACAGTCCCCGAGTCTCACCCGTGCCAGACTCTCCAGAAATAACGCACTCCTCCTCCACGCCTCATCCTGTCTGGTGGAATGCATTGCTTTTGTGGGGTGTGTTGGTTCCTGAAAGTAGAATGAGACTTTATTTAAAAGGTATCCAGGACTGGGGATGTGGCCACACAATGAGAGACCACGTGGCTCCTTAGCTTTTGGGTTAGTATCAAGCATCTAAGGGAGCAGGTGGAATTTTACAATTTATGGGATTTTAAGAGCTGATCTCAGGCAAAGTTCTATGCAGGGCAAAATCTGGTGTTCAGCGTTTTTTGAAGCTCTGGCAGTGAGCCAATATCTATATGTTAGGAACAAGGAAATAATTGCTATCTGTGCCTCCTCACATTGTTCTCTCCATTTTAACTGTACACAAATGGAAGCCCAGCTCTAGTTCAAACACAAACTCCTCAGATGAGCAGCCATGATGACAATCACCCATCAGCTTGGTGATGCCATTTTCTTTATTCCTGATTTCAAAGCCTAGTCTCATTTAACATCAGTTCCTAGGATAGCGTCATGTGTTACCACACTTCTTTCTTTCTTTCTCTCTTTCTTTCTCTCTTTCTTTCTCTCTTTCTTTCTTTCTTTCTTTCTTTCTTTCTTTCTTTCTTTCTTTCTTTCTTTCTTCCTTTCTTCCTTTCTTTTCCTTTCTTCCTTCCTGCCTTCTTTTTTTTTGTATATGTGTTTTGTTTTCTTTTTTGAGACAGGTCTCACTATGAAACCTTGGCTGACCTGGAACTCGCTTTGTAGCCCAGGCTGGCTTCGATGTCATTGAGATCTGCCTGCCTCTGCCTCCTGAGTCCTGGGATTAAAGGTGTGTCCACCCTGACCAGCCTTCTTGTCTTTTGTTGACTTCATTGTGTCAGTTTTTATCCTCAGGCCCTTTTGAGCTGGTTGGACCCGTGGTCCTTTAGTGTGGGTAAAAGACAAGGGCACTAGCAGAAAGAAAGAAAGAAACAAAGAAAGGAAGGAAGGAAGAGAGAAACAAAGAAAGAAGGAAAGAAAGAAAGAAAGAAAGAAAGAAAGAAAGAAAGAAAGAAAGAAAGAAAGAAAGAAAGAAAAGAGAAAAGAAAAGGGAACACTCCCTCATCAATTTACTTACCCGGGGCAGAACTGAGGCCCCCAAAGTCACCAACACAAATAGCTACTAAGGAAGACTTGAAGATCTTTCTCGCTGGGCCCAAGGCTGTGTGCCTTCTTAACCAGAACTCAAATCCAACCTGGCTTTGTTATTTAGACAATAAGACTCACAGCTGTGGAACGTTGTGTGACAGTGAGGATTTCACAATTCCTCCACGGATCCTCCTCAAATATGCACTGTACACTTCTTTAGAAGAAGTGCGATCTGCCTCCTACCAAGGGCAGAGGATCCCACACTCCCAGGAGAGCACAAGACTGTGGTGCTGCATAGCTACCACTCAAGACCCCACAGATGACAGGTGTCCATCCCCTGTCCTCAATCTCCACTCTTCCACGGCTGTGTCCCCTGTGCAGCCATCTGAATGTCCCAGCAGCAAGTTCTCTTACCTCTCCCAGAGCCTGTGCCCTTTGACTAAAGTAAGCACCCATGAGGAGCCCATCCTCCAGCCCATTTCCCACCTCCAACACACACTGGAAGCTGGCCCTTGATGGAGTGAGCAGGGACTGACCATAGCCAAAGATTAATTGGTAAGGGCTTGGGAACTTTCTCTTCTGTGACAATGGGCTTTGCTGCTTGCGCTAATAAGATGCCAATTAGGATATTTACATTTTGGGTTCAACTTAAAGGTAAGCCTGCTTTCTATGAGGTGGGTCAGAGGCTTGAGATCCTCCTAAATGAACTGTATACCAATATGGAGCAGCAGGGAGAGCAAGTGGGAGACAGAGCCCTCCCGAGGCACTGGGGAGACTTCAGACTCTGAGGGTAACTCAAATGAAGCTGAGCTCTGCGCCCAATTCCTTCAGTTAGTTCTAACTCTTTTGAGTGACTTCATACAGTATTCGTTACATATGTCAAATGTTGCTTCAAGGGGGAAAAGACAGAAAGAAAACTCTATTAGACACAAGAAATCAATTTGGTTTTAATTTATTTTCACTCATCTTTTTATTCTCATCCTTGTTTGGTCCTTGAGATCACATCTGTTGTCACTTTCCCACTTTCTCCTGGGGTCCTGGCCATTCTGCCTCTTGGTCAGGAGTCCTGCTGAACAGGGTATCTTGCTTTCTCAGGACAGGAGGTTAATGCCATAGTATTATAGGATACCTTCACACCGACTGTATGCCTAGATAAAGGGCCTCCATGTCCATCGGAGGAACACTCTCCTGGAGCCATTTTCTAGGGACAAGTGTAAAGGAGCCAGAGCACATTGCAGGCTATGCTGGGAAGATCCACAGCCTCACGAATGACTGTACACAGCACACAGACAGGCAAGCCATCACATACCCACCTGTTCCCTCTGCTCGGGTGCCACTGTGCACGACACCCCCAGCCAGCCTGTGATCATCTGAGGGCATGGGCCTGACTCATGTTCTCCCTGGGTCCACATCTCTAAGCACCATATGGAGGACCAGTAAGGAGCAGCTGGTTGGCTGGTCACCTTTGACAGAGAGCAGGGTAGCAGGTAGACGTTTCTTCCCACGCATTCTGACCTCTTAGCTCCTGTTTTTACTGCAGCACTGGCTCCTTGTGACCAACAATGGAGATGATTCCCTCATGGGGCTGGAAAACGGTCACGGCTCAGGCCAAAACCAAGGAGTCAGCAGGGACACGCTCTATCCGGAGGCTGCAGGAGAGAATCTGTGCCTGCTCTCTTCCAGATTCTCTTGATGGCTGGCAGTCTTTGGCTTGTGGCCACATCACTCCCGTCTTCAATGTCAACAATCTCTTCCTCCTCCATTTTCAACTTCTGTATGTACATGCACTCTTGTGTGTAAGTACTTGTGAGCATGTATAGGATCATGTGTGTATGTGTATGCTCACACTGACATGAGCTTGTGTGCATGAACAGGTTTGTGCAAACATTTGTACTCACAAGTGTGTGTGTGTGCATCCACATGTGTGAGCCATGTGTACATGTATGCATGTATGTGTTGTGAGCATATATGTGAGCGGGTGTACATGTATGCATGTATGTGTTGTGAGCATATATGTGAGTGTGTGTGCACATACATGTGGAAGAGCATGCATGTGGTAGGTGCATGAGCATGTATGTATGTGATTCTGGCTCCCTGTTCTAAGAACATCTACGGCATTCTGGGCCCACATGGAAAATCAGGGGTAATCCTCCTCAGGATGCAAAAACTCCCTTTTCAAGTGTCACATCCCGGACTCCAAACATCAGGACCTGAATATGTTAGAGACCATTGTTTATTTCACTCCCAGCACGTCTCTCCTGGCCTCTTCTGCTCCTGAGTAGTCCCTCCAGGCTTCCGTTTCCTCACCCGATGGATCGCCTGCTTCCTTATGGTAGTGGAGACTTTCAGACAGAGAGAGAAAGTATTTCCCGAGTTGTAACTCTACACACAGATGCAGGACTATTATTGCCCTGGGAGTGGGGAGTTTAGCACTTGAGAAAACTATCAGATTTTAAAACATGTGAGGGATAGGAAACCAGTGTTATTCAAAAACCTCATTTACACCCCACAGCAAAGCCTCACGCCCTCCCCGCCTTCACGTTCCCCTGTGGCTACAGGGGTGTGACAGAAGCCTGTCTTGGGGGTAGCTTTGTGGCCCAAAAACAAATCATTCTTCACAGCTTGCTCCCAAGTCCAATAAGCCAGAAGGAATTGGGAGAGAGATTTAACGATATGTATTTCAAGAAAAAGATGAAGACGTGTCTGCTTTTAAGAGATGCTGTAAAAATACATCAGCCCACAGTAAACTTGCAGCCAGATGAAGAGAGGGCAGACTCTAACAAAGCCAGGGACGGGATGTCTTCTTTGGAGGGAAATTGCAGGTCTCTTAGAGTCTGCCCCCTACCAAAACCCAGTGCAGCCATCTTCATGCTGGGTCTCACATACCCCCAAACCCCAACCCCTGAGGGCTCCAGATTCTTCAGGAAACCAGTTGGCTATAAGACATCCTGCCCATGGCCTGCCTTTGGAGTTTTTCTGAGGATGGGGCCTAACATAGCTTTGCAGATCTATTTCATTACGGCTCAATAAAGAAAGTTCCAAAGACCAAATCCAAACCACAGGGTCTCACTATGTAGCCAGAGCTAGCAAGGAACTCACGAAGTAGACCAGTCTGGCATTGCTCTTCTTGCCTCTGCCTCCTGAGTGCTAAATTACAGGTGTAAGACAGCCCTTCTCCTTGTTCTTATAAATAAAGTGGGTTTTTGTTTTGTTTTGTTTTATTTTCGAGGCAGGGTTTCTCTGTGTAGCTTTGCGCCTTTTCTGGATCTCGCTCTGTAGACCAGGCTGGCCTCAAACTCACTGAGATCCACCTGCCTCTGCTTCCCAAGTGCTGGGATTAAAGGCGTGCGCCACCACCGCCCGACCATAAATAAAGTTTTATTAGAATACAGTCTTGCTCTTCAATCTCTTGCTGCTTTGACCCAACAACAGAGTTCAGTCATTGAGATCCACACTGATTGGCCTTCAAAGTTGAAAATGTCCTTTACAGAAAAAGTTTATCAATAGCCAAATGAGAGCATTCCATTGTAGATGGTCTCTGGTTATATGCCCAACAACTAAGAAGAGGAGGTGTTCAGTGGAGGAGGTGCTCAGTGGAGGAGATGCTCAGGAGGAGGTGCTTAGTGTGTACTAAGCATGCCCAAAGCACTGGGGTCCAACCCCAGTACCAAAATAGAAAAAAACAAAAACAAAAGCAACATTGATGACAGAAAATAACTAATGTTTTTTATAGCCTTCCTGTGTCACATCCCATGGCGCCCAGAGCAGAGTGTTGAAGAAACTGAGCCTCAGGAAGGCACGTGGGCAACTTCCTGAAGGTCTCAACAGCTGGGCACAACAGAAGGAAACCCAGGCCCGTGTCCTGCCTGACTCCACCACCCCACTCTGACCTCAGAGCTCTACGGCATCACTCCCTTACTGGTCCCAGTGGGTGATTCTCAACCCCTCTTCTGTCTCCAGCAGCTTCGCAGTTTCCAGATAGTGGAGGTCTTACTTCCACCCAGCTTCTTTTCTTCCCACCTTCCCTCCCTCTCTCCTTCCTTTTTCCTTTTGTTGTTGTCTTTGTTTGGAAGGGAGCATGAGTGTACCACACGGTACACATAAAGGTCAAGGACTATTTGTCTCTCTCATTTGTAGTGACGTAGTGACACTGGTTATGCCAGCCCGGCCAGCCTGCCTCCAGATTCTCCTGTGTCCATTTCCTAGTTCACAGTAGGAGCACTGGAGTTACAGCCCACATTGCTGTGCTCACCTTTACATGGGGTGTGGGGATTCAAACTCAGATCCTCACACGTTCAAGGCAAGCGCTTTGCTCCCTAAGCTGTCTCCTGGCCTCCTCTAAACAATGTCAACACCCATAGTTACCACATCCATTCAGCCCAGGAGCCCAAAGAGGCTAGGCTTTCCCAAGGCTCCTGTCTCGTCCTTACCCATCCTTTAGTCTACATCTCCACATCCCTCTCCCCATCATTGCCCTAGTCTTTCTGACTGTGCTCTGTGATTCTGCACGCCTGCATCCCGCAGTCCTCTACCTGCCCCGCCCTGTGCGTTTCCCACTCTGTCCTGTGGGCAGTCCCTGGGTGCAGAGGCCCCGCAAAACTGATGGGGGCGCGAGGCATTTGCATTCCACTTCCCGGGGCTGTTCAGATCTCACCTGCAATTCTTCTGACAAATCCTTATCAGCGATGCCCATGGCGGAGTCTGTGGCGACTTTGTTCGGTCTTATTAGCTCTGAACAGATTAGCTCTTCACAGCGCTTGGCTGGTTCATACCGATTCCTGATAAACGTTGTGACTGATTTTTCCCGACTGGGACCAGGCTGGGGACTGGGGCTTGGGTGGAATGGAGGACTGGGAAGAGAGAGAGAGTTACCGGCCAGAGGCAGATGAAGAAAATGCAGGCAGGATTACATCTGGACTATGAAATATTCATCACATGCCTGCTGGAGTGGGGTCAGCACGGGAGTCCAGCAACAACTTCTTCACCAGGCGGTGCTTTGAAATGCACAGGCCCAGGCGGGAGGGGCCACCACAGCGGCCTGCATCTGCTCCTGAGGCTTCTGAGAGAAGGGGCAGAGGAAGTTAAAACGAAGGAATAAGAAACCCGCTCACCTGCGCTTCGCTGTCCTCCATCCTTTCTTGCCAGCTCTTCACGATCAGCTTTTGATGGTGGAATACTAATAGTACAGGTAGACGCCACTGTTCCCCCGGTGGCTCCTCATCTCCCTCTCTGCTCCAAGGACTCCTGTGCAAGCGAGCACTCCACCAGCTTCCCATTCGGACGATTTTAGAAAGGCACAGCCACCAACCAGTTCCCTACACTCCCCCAGCTAGATTGGATTCTGCCCAACGGCTTCCATTCCACACCCCAAACGCCCAGCACAGGACTGACGGAGATGTTCAAAAACACTTTTGCTGAAACGAATATGCTCCATTCCTTTGGCAGGAGAGGAAGCGGGTACCATTGCCCATGCTGGAACAATGTAGGCATCAATAAATCATTTTTCCACTTTCTTCCTGAGACCAAATGTCCTTTCCCAGGTTTTCTTACCCTGAGACTCCCCAATCAGCTACTTCCTAATAAATAAGCTTGACAAGGGGATTAGAAACCATGGGCTGTCTTGCTTCTTAGCTACCTAAATACTCTCTTTGTGAGCAGGAGCTCTAAGAGACCGGCTGGTGCACTTCAGCATAGATAGATGCTCTGGGCATATTTTAGAGATGAAGATGACTTCTATGTGACACAGTGTGCATTTTATTTATTTATTAATTTGTCTATTTATTTTTGTTTGTTTGTTTTGGTTTTTCCAGACAAGGTTTCTCTGTGTAACATCCCTGGCTGTCCTGGAACTCACTTTGTAAACCAGGCTGGCCTCGAACTCACAGAGATCTGCTTGCCTCTGAGTCCTGGGATCAAAGGCGTGCGCCACCACGCCCAGCTCCAGTGTTCGTTTTAAACCTCGCCTAATTCTACAAAGGAGCTGGGTGTGGTGGCACACGTCCTTAATCCCAGCACTCGGGAGGCTGAGGCAGGCAGATCTCTGTGAGTTCAAGCTCAGCTTGGTCTAGGTATGGAGTTCCAGGACATCCAGGGCTACATAGTGAGATCCAGTCTCAAAACAAATGAACAAAAAAACTACAAAAGAAAACTATTTCATAACTTTTTATAGTTAGTTGGTCAAGGCTATCTAAAACTTCTTTCATCTGCTTACCCCCAGTGAAGTGAAGCATAAATTTAATTAGTCTTATCAATAAAAAAACAGGCGTCAGATATCAGGGCAGTAACACGAAAGATCAGAGAAACAGAAGAGTAGCCATCAGTGACCGCCTACCTCTCCAGATCCTCTGACCAAAAGGGCTGAGATCCTGTCTCCACCCCACCTTATCACTTTCTGTCTCTATCTCCTGAGTGCTGGGATTAAAAGCGTGAGCCACCACCGCCCAGCTTCTATGGGTTAACTAGTGGCTAGCTCTGCTCTTGATCTTCAGGCAAGCTTTATTGGTCAGAACACAAACAAAATATCGTACAACCCCCAAGTCCTTCATGCTGTAATGTAAATATGGTGATATGGTGATTAGATTTGTTAGCCACGGGGAGTGAACGGCACTTTCCTTTGACACAGCCCTATATTAATTTGACTCTGATTCTCATGTAGCCAAGGCTAGCCTCAAACACACTACAGAGCTGAGGACAACCTGGATTTTCTGAATTTCCTGCCGCCACCCACCAAGCGCTAGGAATACAGGCAGCTGGCAGCTGCCAACTCTATGCCTGGTCATACAAAGCTTTCAGCACGCAGGTCAGATGCCTCACGCATGCCAACCACATCCTCTCTCAGTCCAGAGCCCAGAAGATGACCCCTGCTGTGCCTCTAGAAGGCCTGAAGACTCTTGGCAGCCATGCAGGCCACGGGAACAGCCCACTCATTAGCCTTTCGCCAGATTTATCTTCTCCCCGGTAGCCTGCGGTACTTTGATTAGTCCTGCTGTCACCAGGACTAACGCTGATGGCAGCACCCCCTCCCCCCCGAAGGTGTCAGGCTCTCCAGCCTCCTGCCAGAGGCCTCAGGGAAAATGGATGAGCAACTGACCCACAAAATAAATACCAGGCTTCCAGGTTCTGATAAAGATTAAATATTGGAGGAGTCATTTCAGATGAATATATAAAAGCAAATGGAAGAAGCCTTTCAGGCAGCGACAGAGTGAAATGCAGGCCAACAAAGAGAGATGTCTCCGGGAGGTTCAATGGCAGGGACGTTGGAGGCTTACGGTGCAACCTCCCCAGAAATACTACAGCATCAGGGAGGATTCCAAAAGCCGTCAACTGCCTCCTGTGCTGTGCCCACCCAGACGGTGAGCGAGAATGCTTAGCTTCATCTGCACTGCCAAAAGGATGCTGAAGTCAGCTCTGCTGAGTTGGCCCAACCTACCGCGGGAGGAGAGAAGCGCGGTGACTCAACACCATCTGCCTTCCATGTGGAGCAGCCAAGAGCCCGGATCATTGGTAGAAGGGGCTCTGAGACCCCAGCTGAAAGACCACTCCCAGTAGGCATCTCAGAGAAAGGCCCAGGGCCAGAGACAGGAGTGGCCAAGGTCAGCAAAGGAGGTCAGTGTTTCTTCCGCCTAGGGCAGAAGTTAGACCATTTTCAGATGCTTGCCTACTTGATTTCACGTAGAAAAATTCCAGATAGCCAGAGTCTTGCCTCTAGCATCAATCAAGAGATGATTGAGCTACAAGGGAACAACAAGCAAGGCTGGATGCTGGCTACTGCAAGTCTCATGTGGTCCAGCCCCTTGCTGGGCCATTAGCGTCTAGGGTCTCATTCACTTTGCAAGATGAGTATTGTCACCCACTACGGAAGGGAGGTTGAGGCAAAAGAGAGGAATGAGAACCAAGTCAGGGCTTACAAAGACTCTGTTTCATTTATTACTCTCAGCTCTGCCTAGGTGGTGGAGCCTATGTTTAGTTTAGACATAGAATCTCTGAATTGAGTACATACTCTATGGGTTGCATATATACGTTTATTTTTTATTTTAATTTTTTTACATTTCTTTACTTTATTTTATGCACATGAGTGCTTTGTTTGCATGTATATCTGTGTACTACATACAAGCCTGGTGCCCACAGAGGTCAGAAGAGAGCATTAGATCTCCTGCAACTGGAGTTATAGATGGTTGTGAGCCGTCACATGGGTGGAGGAATTGAACCTGAGGTCCTCTGCAAGAGCAACAAGTATTCTTGGTTGCTAAGCCGTCTCTCCAGCTCTGAGTGTATATGTTCAGTATGTTTAAAGAATCGGTCCTGTTTGTGTCTGACTCTTAATTCCATGCTCCGTCCCCCAGGAATGACTTGTAGAGAGTCTTAAGGAAGAAGGAAGATCCATGATGTGCCACTGAGCTTCAGGTGGGCTTTATGACTTGGTTGAGGTCACAGAGACTGAACCTTGACTGGGCTTGGGAACAAGAGTATAGCTAGCCCAGTAGGGCCTGAGTTGATGCAAGGTAGCAGGACCAGAAGTCCAAGGATTTGAGGAGCATAATTGTCACCATAGTTGGCAACCTTCCTGTGTTCCAGCGGCATCTAGGCTGTAGGCCATCCTAGTGTCATAATTCTGCAGAGGGAGAGGAGGGTGGGGTAGCAGTGGAGGGGGTAGGGAGCAGGGGTGGCATGGCTCACATGGAACACGACTTGCAGCAATTGCTGTAGCAGTAGCCCAGACACAGACGAGTCCCCAGTCCCGTCTCCTTCACGGCTGCTACACTTCTCCAGAGGCAGTGTATGAAGGGAAGGGGTACCCTGCAGCAGGGGAAAGGGGGACTCTTCAAGGCCATTCCTGCCTGGGGGTTTCAGAGTGAGCCTGGGACAGGCTACTAGGACATTTAGACTGAAAGGCACTGAATTCAGCTCCTGCTCGGTAGTACCTTCTTGGCCAGCCAATGAGCGCAAAGAAATGGACTGGACCATCCTGTCCCCAATCTCATGTTCCCTTCTCATGTCCTGCAAGGAAGACTGGTACGGACCCACAGTGAATGACATGGGCTGTAACAGAATAACCTCATTATTTCTGAACCAAATCTCCCCCTCAAAGCACCCTCGTGGTGTGTGTGTGTGTGTGTGTGTGTGTGTGTGTGTGTGTGTGTGTGTGTGTGTGCAGTTACACATGCACATGGAGGCACTTGCATATGGTGGCCAGAGGACAATCTCTGGTGTTATAGTTCCTTAGATACTGCCCCCACTCTTTTCACTTTATTTTATTTTTTTGAGAAAGGGTTTCTCACTGCTCACCTGAGCTCACAAAGTAGGCTAGGCTTCCAGGTCAGGAAACCCCAGGACTCCACCTTCCTTTGCCTCCCTGGTACTTGGTTTGCAAGCTTATGCCACCCATCTGGCTTTTTTTAAAATGAGGGCTCTGGGTATTGAACTCAGGTCCTGACGCTTGCAAAACAAGCCCTTTATAAACCGAGCTGGTCCCCCAGGCCCTTCACCTTAGTTTTTAATCTCATTTCTCCAGAGTTGTTGCTGTTTCTCCACATCCAGTCCTAAAAAAACAAAAAAAAACCCAAAAAACAAAAAACCAGAGCCTAGTGAGGCTAGCGGGCTTGCTCATTGCTACCTCACAGCCAGGAGCAGAGCTGAAGCAGCCAAGGACAGAGTTCTCTCCACTCTGTGTCCCTATCTACCACCCTGTACATGCTTCTTCCGCCTGTTTTTCCAGAGGGAAAGCCAAGGGCCTGCTGTCAGCCCCCTGAGGGTACTGCAGGGAGCCAAGGGGCCAGGTCACTGGACAGCAATCACCACAGAGAGGCTCTAGTGAGTCAAGAAGAATGGAGTGTCCACACCAATTCCCATCTCCGGGCCTCCCTTCCACTTCATATTACCGTGCAGCTGTTTCCTTGGGCACCAGGGCAATTTAGCAAGTGTGTTTTGCATCAGTCCAGCAGTTTCTGATATTAACTCTCCCTGGACTTTCTCAAGGCTGCCTCGCTGTCTCTATCCCCGACCTCTTCTGACTATCAGAGGCAGCGGTGGCCACCTGGGGGGTAGCCCTGCTAGCCTGAGGAATTGACCTTCTCCAGGGAGGGCAGCTGTGTGTGTCTGTGGTGGGCTGGGGCCTCTCACAACACACTTCATGACTATTTACAACACACATCACCAGATCTACCTTACCATGGCAGAAATTAAATGGTACAGACAGTACAGGACCTACCATGTTGGGGTGCAACCCACTTATTTACACATCCAGATACTCTGCTCTCCACTCTGCTTTCCCGCTCCCCCTAGAAGAAAAACAGTCTCCTTCTGACTCCATTTACCTCCTTGCTTTGGCCCAAAACAGTTAATGTGATCTAAGGCCAGAACACTGATCACTCAGAACACCCCCGCCGCCCCTCCCCCCCCCCACATTGGTCACATTAAATCCCTTAGCATGTTTGGTTTGGAAGTCAGTGTGGTCCTTGAGGAGGAAGAGAGGGTACAGATGGAAGTGGGGAGTGGGAAGGCTCCAAAGGACCTCAGGGCAGTGGGTCCATTCCTGTTTTGATATTTGGTCAACTTGTCAGCCCCACTGATCTCCATGGTATCAGCCCCACTCGTGAATGCTAATACTCTGGCCTTCCATTTCAATCACCCATCTCCCTTCTCTCTGTCTTTCTTCCTCCCTAGCCTTTTCTCTGTCTTTCCACTCAGTGTTAAAATGAAAGAAAGGGGGCAGGTTCATTCTCTCTAATAATTTAAGATCCCTTGCACGCGAGAACGTGCCGATGAACAAAAGGGAAGGGTTGGAACACGCTGGCAGTGATCTCCTGCCTATTAAAAATGAGGCAGGCTGAAGTGGGCCTGGCTAGCAGACAGGCCTGCAGCTCCAGGGAAGTGGTACTTAAGGGAATCTGCAATTAAGAGAAGCTTGGAGCTCTGCCACACATCGCTTCCCTTGCCTTCTCTTATTTAGAAAAGCATCACAAAGCAGGGACCTAAATGGAAGATGACAATAACGTAAGGTGACAGATGCCTGTTTGGCAGGGAACACCAGGAAACCAAGTCACTTACCTGTGGTACTCATGCCACCACCCCATGTGTGGCACTCCATCTCAGTCTGGAAGGCAGAGCCTTGGTGGCTGTCCAGGGATGGCTGTCCAAATTCCTGGGGAGCCTGCTCAGCGTCCAGGTTCCTCCAGCCCACCCTGGGTAAACATGGGCCTGAGCAGGCGGGAGCCAGGCCCAGCAGGTATGCCCACTCCAGGAACCCTGCCTGCTCCAGCTGTCTGCAGGGCTGGGGAGACCACCACTGCTCACGCCAGTCTTTCCAGGAGCTTGGCAGCCCTGTCTGCCAAGAGCCACACACATCTTTGAAGAAGGCTCATTTCTGACCTCAGCAGCAATCTACAGCAGGCCCTGGTAGAGACGGTTCATAGTTGAGGCTGGGATGCTCAGAACGCTGAGCTGCTTCTGAAAGCCCCTGCCATGGAGATCCCAAGTCTGCTTGGAGAAACTGACAACACAATTCACAGCGAGCGCGCGCACACACACACACACACACTCACATGATGAAAAGGGGATACTATGACATCTTAATCTGGTCTCAACTCCTTTTCATCATGACATCTAGTTGAAACTGGCATTGCTGGGAAAGGGATGTGTGATTACAGGTGTATGTGATATGTCTGATTGTGTGTGTTATGTACAAAGTATATGTATGTGTGGGGCATGTATGTGGTGTGTATGCATGCATGCGGTGTGAGCATCTGTGTATGTGGGGTTATAATGTAGTATGTGCATAGGGTGTGATGTGTGTGATGTGCATATGTGGCATGTCTGTGGTATGTGACCATCTATGTTTGCATATGGCACGTGTATGAGTGGAGTATGTAGTGTGTGCTTGTGTATATGTGGTATGCAACATCCAAGTTTATGTGTGAGTGTAGCATATATGTGGCATGTATATATGTGTGTGGTGTGTTACAATCTGTGTTTGTGTATGTAGCATGCGTATGGAATGTGTATGTATGTATGTATGTATGTATGTGATGTGCGTATATGTGGTGTGTGACTATCTGTGTTTGTGTACATAACATATATGTGATAGGAGCATTGTATATGTGTATGTAGTGTATATATGATATCTGTTTTTATATATATAGTATGATGTGGTATGTGTATGCATGTGTATAGTGTATCTCTGTGTCATATGCACATATATGTGGTGTGTGACCATCTGTATTTATGTGTGAATGTTTATGAAGTATATGAATTTGTGGTGTGTATATGCACTATGTGAACATCTGCAGCTATGTGTGTAGTATGTATGTAGTCTGTCTATGCGAGAGAATGTGTGTGTGTGTGTGTGTGTGTGTGTGTGTGTGTGTGTGTGTATGTGTGTGTGTGTGTATCAGGGAAGGGAACTCCCCACAGAATGGAGCATGGCACTGATATAGCTTGTCTCTCATCTCAAAGTGGTACCCTGCTTTTCCATATATATTTTATTGTTACTTGAAAGGCTGCAGCAGCTCCCCTTCACAGGCTCCGTAGTTTCCACCTGAAGCAGGACCAATCACTTCTCTGGTCTCACCTTTACTATCCAATCCTGGCCACCGTATAGCACTTAATGTCTATCTTCATACAGATTATTTCATTCCATCTCTTCAGCAACTCTGGGATGCAGCTTGCATTTCTCCAGAGCTAAAACTCCAAATGATGAAAGTTCTGGGCATGAGGATTTATGCCTATAATCCCAGCACTCGGAAGTGAAGGTGGGAGGATCAGGGTTCAAGGCCAACTTCAATTTACAAGTTTAAGGCCATGGTTTTGTGAGACATCATAGCAAAAAAAGAAGAAGAAGAAGAGGAGGAGGAGGAGAAGGAGGAGGAGGAGGAAGGAAGGAAGGAGGAAGGGAAAGAGGTGGGGGAGGGAGGAAGAAGGAAGGGAAGGAGGGAGGGAGGGAGGGAGGGATAAAAGACAGCAAAGGACTAAAGACCGGGTAAGGGACTAGCCCCAGGGTACAGGATTGCTAAAAGGCAGGCATGTAGTCCAGTAGGGAACAGAGTGCGGGGCACTCTCTGAAGGATAAGGGCCTTCAGTCTAGTTGAAGGTTCTCATCTACCTGCTATGGAGCCAGAGGAAGCTGTATGTCCTGTTTTAGGAGGCATAGGACCATTTGACTCACCTTGTTTAGGTGAGAACAGCCCCTTTGTAGAATCTGTAACTCTTCACAGTATTGTTTACTTGGGACCTGATATCATGAGGGTACACACACATACAAGCACACGCTTATGCACACACACTCACACACACACACATACACACACACACACACACACACACACACACACACACACACACACCCCTCTAGATTATGGACACCAGGTTTCTCCCCTTACCACACAGTGGTCTCTGTGGAGGCAAAGACACGTCCTGGGAAAAACAGATGCTCAAAGACTGGGGCTGGAGGTTGACTCCATTGGGAATCCGTGGCCTCAGATGCCAACCTACTATCTCTCTGACTAAAATAGTTGCCTGCTCTCGCGTGGCTTCAGTTTTTCTGCCTGGAATCTGTTGCGGACATGCTAAGCATACTTCAGATGCAGCTGGGTGAGTCTATGATTTCTTGATGGCCTCCCTCAAAACAAAAGCAAACCCATGTCAAACCCACGTGCTAAGTGCCTTGTGCAAATCATCTCGCCAAATGAGAAGCTTTTACCAGCTCAAGTCAGGGAGCAGAGGACAAGCTGGGGGAAGCTAAGCAACTCACTTAGCAGATGGCCATCACGTGACCGGATGGAATTCCAGGACATCAAGACTCACCAAATCACCTTGGTCTGTTTTTTAATTGCTTAATAAAACTGTTTTCTTTCTGTTCGAATAAACTTTCACTTTCCAGAGATAAAGTTATTTTAGGTAAGAAGTGGAGCTGTCATAAGACAAATTTAGTGTCACCTTTAGGCAGGATTATTGTGGAAATACACAGTCATGAAAGGATCATCCATTCTGCTCCAGGGCCTATGATGACGTCATTTGCTTTAACTAAGTAGCTACCATGAAACCTTCTTGGGGAGAGAAGAACTCAGTTTCTTTCTGAGGAGTCACTCATTCCTTGATGTGTGTGTGTGTGTGTGTGTGTGTGTGTGTGTGTGTGTGTGTGTGTGTGTGGTTGTGGCAGGGGTGGGGGGGTAGACACAACTAGAACTGGCCTGTCGTTTCTGTGGATTCAGTGGCTGTTTCACAGATATTTCTGATTCCTGCATAGATCAGACGAGACAAAGAGACAAAGACGGTTAAGCAGTATAAGCAAGTTGAAAACTCTGTGACATTGAGCTTGGTCCTGCCAGGATATGGGCCTTCAACTAAGATTAGCCCTGTGACACCAGTGAGGGCTTGCTTAAGAGTGGCAGGTCCCTCTTTTCCAGCCATCCCAGAACATGGACATGGGCACTCTCTACATTCAGCTACATGATCCTGTGGAACCCGCTAGTGAGCTATGCCCACTTGAATATTGTGATCTGTCACTTATATCCAGAACATTCTAACTGCGACAGGGAAAAGTATAGTGAAGGAATCTGGAGTCGTCTGGCTCCAGCCCTGGACCTGGTGGAGGGGAACCTGCTTCCAGGATAAAATTGAGGCATGATAGAAAGACAGGGAAAGCAACAAGGATATAGGAAGAGAAAGGAACCCCTCACCCGGGAGTCTGGTCGAGGCTGCTCATCAGCTGGGAAGCAAGAACGTCAGCACAATCAACAACCTAAGACCTTTTCCCTGCTCAGTAAACCTGCAATTTTCTAGGAATCTCAGCAGAAAACCCTTCAACGGCGCCAGTTATTCCTGGTCTCACCTTATCAGACCATAGTCCCAACCAAGGCACCTCTGCAGCCACCCAATAAACTCACTTATCAAAAGAGAAAGAAAAGGGGGGAGAGGTTTTGTGGTAATTCTTTGAGATAGGACTTGAGAGCCACCAAACTGGGATCTATGGCTAATGCTGAGATATCATCTCTCTCAGCAGATCTTCCAGGCTGTCCTTGAACTCCATGTGTAACTGAGGACGACCTTGAATTTCTGATCTTCCCCTTCCCCTCCCTTCTTTTCCTCCTCTCCTCCTCTCCCTTTTCCTCCCCTCCCCAAGTGGTATGAGCCACCATGCCCAATTTATACAGCAGGACTGAAGCCAGAAATGTATGCTTCCTAGATAAGCACCCACCAACTGAACTGCACCCCAGGCCTTCTTTATTTACTTTCAATCAGGATCTCACTACGTAGCTCAGGCTGGCCCCCAAAACATATATAGCCCAGACTAGCCTCAAACTCACAGTTATCCTCCTGCCTCAAGCCTTCTGGGATTATAGGAGTAAGCCACTGGGCCCCAGTTCTTCTCTACATGTTCTTGCACAGAGATCTCCCTTGCTCCTCTACTGTCACACAAGACCTGAGTCTTGGCATTGGGGCCTGCTTTCCTCTTGACTTCTCTGCTCCCCAGTCCTGCTCCACAGCCTGCCCCCTACCTCCTCCCTAGAGCACCCCCAGCTCCCAGCCCTGGCCACGACACCTGCGAGCTTGGATTTGCTCAGCCCAGTTGCGGAGCCTGCACTTCCGGGAAGTTTTCATCAGTTTTACAACAGGTGAATCGTCTTTACACCTCCGTCAAGACAGTTATTCCACTGCGTGGTCATCCCTGAGGTGTGGGTTGGTCTTCCGGAACTGCAGGGGGTGAAGTGGGGTGGGGTGGGATGTTCCTCGGCAAGGAACTGGTTCTTTCCTGTTCATGATTGTAGGCAGGATTTCAGGATGGATCTGGAGTGGGAAGAACTTGGTGGGACAGGGTTGGGGGTTGGGTGAGAGGGTGGAGGATGGAAGGTAGGGGTGGAGGAGGTGGGAAGATGGGGAATGGAGGAAGGGGTGATGGAGGATGGGTGTGGAATATGGGGGAAGTGGAGGATAGGGACATGGGAGGTAAGAGTGGAGACAGGGCTGGAAAGGTGGTGGATAAAAGACAGGGGTGAGTGGGTAGGGGAGATGAGGGAGGGGTATAGGGATGGAGGAAGTAGGAGATGGAACTTAGGGTGGGGGCAGTGCAAGATTGAGGATGGGGTGGAAAGGGTATGGGACCCAGGATATTTAATGAGGGAGGTGGGGATGCCCGGGGTTCATAGGCAGCCTGTAGGGGTGGGGAGCAAAGGAGAATCAGCTCCCAGCCTCCTCCTCTGCACCTCCCCCTGGCCCATCCCAGGGCATCAAGGGTGCTAGCCACATGGCAGAGGGGGGCAGGGGCGGGCAGCTGATTGGACAAACAAAAGCCTTGTTAACTATCCTCAATGGCAAGGAGAGAATTACTGGAGCTCTTGACAGCAAATTTGGCATTTAAAGCCAAGCACAGGAGCTCAAGAGATTAAATACATTGTAGATTGGCTAAACTTGAGGTAAGCCAAAGAAAAGGTAGACAGACCACCATTACCCTTCAGGCTGGGGTGGCAGCTGGTGGGACGTGCTTTGGCTCAGTTACGATCACAAGGCACCCACCCACCAGAGACTCCTGGGCTTATTTTTTCTTTTGCAATCAAGGCCATGTGTCCCCTGTCCACACAGTCCCAGAACCAAAGGTCCCTTCCTCGCATGTTTTTCATGGGCCTCATTGCTGAGAGAAGGAAAAAATATCCAGAGATAACGGTGCTGACTATGGAATGGCAAGTGGCCTGGGAAGCACAGCCAGTGCATGAAAGTGGGGACCTCCTGGAGAGGGCCGTGAGATGTGCATGCAGCAGGGTCCCTTCCGCCCCTCTCAGGTCCCCACACTCCTCTCTCCCTGGAATCTTGGCACTGAAATGGGGAGTCAGCCCAGTTCAGGAGACACATTCAGTGCTTGGGATGGTATTTTCCTTGTGTAATGCCCACCCTTCATGTAATCAAAAAAAAAAAAAATCTAGAACGTAAACCTTGGGAGATTGGGATTATGGAGATGGACTAGGGTTGCAAGAAGTGGTACCTGCTGGAGACTCACCTTTGGAGAGGCTGGGTGAATCTGCTCCTTGGCAATTCATCCCTGCTTGGCAGAGGCAAGGTCACACCGAACAGTTTCACAGCCCGGAGAGACCTCATTCTCGTGAAGACACAGCAGCGCAAGGGCCTGGGCAATTCTCAGCCTCTTCTGAAAAGCAGATGGAATAGAATTAACCCCAGTGAGAGCTTGAGGGACTCGGGTTGGACGAAAGGAGAGTTATCCCAGAGGGGAGTTATTAAAACATGAAAGTGGATACATCAGGAGGCTTCAAAATCCTCCTTTTCCCCAGAGAACTCCAAAACTCACGGCAAAGATGCCCCCCTTACTGTGTCGCCCTCTGAGGTGCTGGCCCCTCTGAGGGGAAAGGTCCCCCTGTGCATTCACCTTTCTGACCTGGGTTAATTCTATTTACTGCCTATCAAGCCCCTTCTGTGGGTCCGACACAAATTCAGGCACTCTCAACAAGTATTTATATAATCCCAGATTCACACGCAGCAGGTGGAGATTGTGGTCTTAAAATAAGGACACAGAAGGCTGGCGGCACTACCGATGTCACCACGGGGCTATGCTTGGGAGTCGGATTGGAACTGAAGCCTGGCTGGTTGCCAAAGACACATTCTCCAGGTGTGGTGGAGCATGCCTGCAATCCCAGCACTTGAGTAGGCTGAGACAGGATGATGACAGTGATTTCAGGCCTGCTTGATCTACAGAGTGAGACCTCACATCAAAAACAAATACCAAAATGTTAAGAAGCTGCCCTCTGGCCCAGACACAGGATAGAGTCAGGGATGGGAAGCCCAACACCAAGGAAGGCATTTCAGCCCAGGATCGCTAGTGGCCTGTGAGGGGTGTGTCCCATGTGTATTCTCTTTGCAGAGGTAGCTGTAGTGCCCTGGACTGGGCTTATGCACATGAAGAGGGGCTTCTCCGGCTGTAGGAAGACAGGAAGCGCCTAGCCTGAAACTTCAGAGACAGTCGTGCTGTCAGCAGCCACCTGTGATCAACTATTCCCTTTGCTTTTTTCACGGGCTCAGAGAGTTGCTGCCACAAGGCCACCTGCTCTCTGACAGTGTGGCAGGGTTGGTCATTAAGTCCTTGGAGAGAGGAAAGGCCATTAACCCTGGAAAGACAGGGAGGGAGTTGGCCAGAACCCCAACCAGAGCCCGACCATAACCACAGAAACTTAGGTGATGGCCGTGAGGACCCAGGCCTGTGCCCTGGTCACTCTATCTCAGTCACAAGAGAAACTCTAACTATTGGCTTCCAGAAAATAGCCCCCTGCCTCTGCTTCTTCCAGCCCACCAGTTCCCATAGTAACAGGAAGCTTAGCTACCCCCATGCTAAGTGGAAAACCCATGCCAGAGGTCTGGCTGTAGGTTGAGTCCCCCACCAGCCAACTGCTCCAGGCTTTGAGTCCTGGGGCACAAGTCACCTTTCTCATTCTCGGTTTCTTAGAGTGGAGATGGCAGCATCTGCTTCAGAGGTCATTAGGAAGGCAGATGAGTTAATTCATCTGCAGGATTTAGGGCTGTGCCTGCCATGCGCCAGTGGCACCCCCTGAGTGTCAGCTGTCACTGTGGTTGTTATGACTGCCCCACCCTTCCTATAATCCCTGAGCAGGAAGAAGCAGCATCCAGGAAGGAGCTGGGAAACAGAGGAATGGTCTTTTCTCTTTGTAACCATTTCCCAACCGGAAACACCTCCACCCCAGGACCCTGCTTAGGAGAGCCTGTTGTAAACACAAACTGCTGGAGAGTGGAACTGTGCCCAGCTGGTCCTGGTTTAATCCTTCTAGTTCTCTGTTCCAGACCACCCTCATTCCTGGGAAAGCTGAGAGGACTGAACAGCACCCCCTCTGAGAAGATTAGAGCAGCCCCAGTTCAACTGCTCAGAGTCCAGGACATTGGCATTCACAACCATTTTCCAACACACACACACACACACACACACACACACACACTTTTATAGGTACAAACCAGGACCAGCTGGGAAGAATAAGGTTGGGGTGGGGGGACCTGTCAGACCACTAGGCAGGGGCTGGTGTCTGGAAGGGTCTATTCCCACCCACCATGTGTCTTATTGAGATACTTCAGCCTGGATGATCTAAACAACACACAGTATTTCTTACAATTCTGCGAGGCTGGAACATCCAAGGCCAAATTGTCAGTTTGTTTCTTGATGATGTGCAAAGAAGAAAAAAAAAAAAAAAAAACACAAAACAACCACTAGTCCCTTCAGCCCCGTGAAGCGGCCATCCCACCCTGAGGTGTTGTACTCAAAAGTTTTCCCAAATCCAGCTGCCTCCCAAAGGCCTCATTCCCAAACATCACCATATCAAGGAGTAAAATTTTAATAAATGTTTTTGTGGAGAGGCCCATTTTTCTGGGTTGTTTTGTTTTGTTTTGTTGGTTTCTTTTTTTTTTTTTTTTTTTTTTTTTGAGACAGGGTCTCATGTCTCACAGGCTAGTCTCAAACTTGCTAAGTGCCCAAGGGTGATCTTGACCTTCTAATCTCCCTGCTTCCAACGCCCAAGTGCTGAGATTATAGGTGTGTGCCAGCACAAATGGTTTTGCATGATGCTGAGGATCGAACCCGGGGCTTACTCCATGCTAGACAAATAAGTACTCTACAAGCAAGCTGTATTCCTAGATCTTAGCCTCATTGTTCTCATCAGTACAAAAGGCTCTTAATACTTCAGTGAGGGAAGCCAGGGCAAAGTTTTTCATCAAGTCCAAACTGCATCTGCCTGACATGGCGCAAGCAACAACCAGATCTTCCTGGGCTTGCTCAGGTCCTGAGAGAGCAGAAGGTGGAAGCTGAGGAGGACTTGGGGTGTCAAACCTGTGGCCTGGGCTCTCTTCCTCCCACACGGGCCTCAATGATTGTGTGTCATCAAGCACCTGCCGGCCTTACCCAGCCCACGCCCTGTTGCTCGGGTGACTCTGTGCATATACGGGTGACTCTGTATATATGTTTAAGAGTGAGACTATAGAGACAGAAGGCAGATGGGGCACATGTGTCTAAAGGGCAAGATCCAGAAGCAGAGGTCCTAGTTCACCCAGGCTTCCTCCGTTCTTAGCCAAAGGCCAAGCCGGCAAGGGCAGAAGGGATCTGGGAAGGTAGCAGAGGAAGGCTGGAGAGGCCTGGATAAATCCATTTTGGCTGTTGTTTTCCTACTTCCTGCTGTTCTTGGGGTCAAGGGTTGGGAGAGAAAGGTCTGTCACAGCTTCATGTTTGGGCTCCACCTGGTCCTCAGTATGGCTCTGGCCCAGACTGCAAAGGAGCAGCCAGTATAGCCATCATGGAGCATGTCCTCTGCTGACCCATAGAAAGTGATGGAAAAGGACATAGGTCTGGTCCTTATGGAGACTCCCATTCTTCCTCTTCTGTCTCTCCTCAGTCCCTTGCCTCATAGCTTGTTGAGCTTGGGCTCGTGAGGAGCGGAGTGAGCCCTCTCTCCCATGGCCCGGCTTCACACTGCAGATGGGTCTCCAAGAGGACTCCAGAACATGGTGTGCGCCATGCCAAGGACTGCCTTCCGTGGCTGTGTGCTTTGGCCTCCTTCTCCTACCCTCCTCCTCTCACCGGTAGAGCCCTGGCCGAGGGTCTGCTTTACGGTGACACTCCAGGAAGGAAGTCTCCATTTTACAGAGGGAACTGGTGGGGCGTGGGGGTAGGGAAGTCGTGCTGGATCACCGCCCAGGCAGGAGGGGCATCCCTGGGATGTCCTCAAAGTCTCATGCCTTCCTCAGTTTTTTTTTGGGGGGGGGGCGTTTCGAGGCAGGGTTTCTCTGTATAGCTTTGGAGCCTGTCCTGGATCTCACTCTGTAGACCAGGCTGGCCTCGAACTCACAGAGATCCGCCTGCCTCTGCCTCCCGAGTGCTGGGATTAAAGGTGTGCGCCACTGCCGCCTGGCTCCTTCCTCAGTTTTATATGAGGTAAAATTCTGTTCTGAGTTCTCTAAATGCAGGGATTTTTTTAAAAAAAATCTAGACTACTGATTTTTTAAAAACCAATACAAGCTCACTAAGTGTAGGAGTGAGCTACCTTCCTTTCCTTTCCTTCCTTCCTTCCTTCCTTCCTTCCTTCCTTCCTTTCTTCCTTTCTTTTTTTCTTCCTTCCTTCCTTCCTTCCTTCCTTCCTTCCTTCCTTCCTTCCTTTCTTTCTTTCTTTCATCTACTTAACTTGACCTTTGTTTCCCCAGCACTTAGAAGAGTGCTGGACACTTGGCAAGTCTTGAAATTGTTGAATGAATGAATGAAGAATGAATGAATGAATGAATGAATGAGGGAGGGAGGGAAGCAGCACTTTTGTTTCATCTTATGCCCATTCAAGAGATGATGACATGAGGTAGAACTAAGTTAGTTAACTCATTTCCTACAGACCCTAAGCATTAGGGAAGGGGTGTCTACCAACAGCTGTGACTCCATGGAAGTTCTTCTATCAGTACGCCTCGCTTCCTCTTAGTACAAGAATGGCCTGTCTCCTCCAGTGAAAACCAATCGAGAGATGCGATCTTAAGGAGTCCCCTCTAGGTGAAGTGGGTGGGTCCAAGTGAAGCTTGGAGAGGGTTTCCTCACCAACCCCCACCAGGAAGTCATGGGTGGTAAGGCGAAGCACCTTGCTTTATACTGTATGGAAGGGGGAGGGGGCTTCTGATGACTTTAGCTATAGATCTCACAGTCTCTCCCCCGTCTCTCTAACTTGGATGTTAATGTATTAGCTACAGCTTTGGCTTCTCGGTTACAAATTGTCGTGTGTGTCCCCCCCTACCCCGCCCTGAAAATTATACATCCAGATAGAGTAGTGTTCATTAAAGTGAGATTAGGAGAGGATAAAATGTGAGAGGTATGTAATCTTTTGCAAATGGTTAGTAAATTGGAACTACCCCAATTACAATCTTGTTCATCACACAGGCCTGAATTACTCTGCCCGGGACGGCAGTCTCAGCCACAGCTCTGCTCAGCTCCCATTTCATAAATATTGTATACAAGTGATATTCTCTGCCATCTGCTTCACTGGTCACTGAGCATTTTTTTTTTTTTAACTTTTCTGCTTGACTGCAGAGAGGGGCAGGAGCTGGGAGGTCATCCTGCCTACTTGCCTCGAGGCCTACCTAGGCCCACACCTTCTTCCACTTCC